CAATGCCTGTAATTACAATAAAAATGAATCTAAGCCTTTTAAAACAGATAATGAAGTCGGCAGAAGGTATTCCAGCTAAATCTTATGTTATCATAATAAAAATTAAATGGAGCTAATTCCAATAGAGGCGCAAGGCCATGCCAACGTGAAGGGTGAGGGGACCCTCTCAGTTGCTATGCAACAACGTAAACATTGAAAGGATCTTAAAGGCGTATACCATGTGCATGAAGATTATACATGATAAATATACGGGCAACTCCCCACAGTAACATTTAATTTTTTTGTGTGTATTCTTGTAACTTGAAGGTAAAAGTCACGTTGATTCTTATTTTGTCCATCATGTACATGTACATCATGGGTTTTTATTTTTAATTTGAACTGAATTCAGTCAGAGAGCTCTAAAAATGATACGTGTGTATTTTTTAGGTAATGCCATTTAATTGAAATTAGGAAGTGAAATTTAAAAAAAATCATTTCTAGGGGTTTCTTCATACATGAAATTCATCGCACTGGCTATTGTTCCAACCTGTGGGGGTTAGGTTGCATCATGTTGAATTGATATGGAATGGCCCGTGTGCAAAATCATCAGTTACTTATTGGCTATAATAGCATTTAGTGGTCAATGTAATAAGGTTTTACTATACCAGTACATCAGACTAAATGACCTTATACTATTTTTTGACGTTTCACCAGTTTCTTAATTGAAAAAGGGATATATCAGAGACAGGCATCTGAAGGTTTGCCTATTTTTTTGTGTATGGTTCCCCTGATAAACTCTCTGAAAAACAGCTGTTGAGACAATTCGGGACTAGGTGTATCTGCAGCACAATGAGCACTCAAAGGATGCATACCTGTATGAGTCACTTGCAGGAATACCCTGTCTTCAAGATTGTCCCTGCTGGTCAGTGTTTCCCTTTGGAAGCGACATGTATATACATGTCCAGGAATTCACCCAAAGATACCAATAATCAAAAAGCAACTGCCAGTAAATATAAAGATAAGTAATTTTTTCTCTGCATTTCTTTAACATTATGAAAAGAAAGAAATGTCCAAACTAGGGACATAATTTCAGAAAAATTTGTGATTGTGTTCCGATACAGTTTTCTTGTTA